GAAATTAAGGGGAAAAGGAGAGGTTCAGGAGCCCACAGACGACATTACAAGGAGGCAGAAAAACACAGAAACAATTTCATGAAAAATAGATTACAGGACTATTAAATAGTGGATGTGTATGGATTATTTTTGGAGAATAAGGATATTGTTTAGTGTCACAATAAGTAACCCAGCCAAGTCACCTCCCCAATCCCAGCATGTCCTTGGACAGTGAAGGAGCAGAAACACCCCAATGAGCTCATCTTTCTGCTTGTTCCTCCTTTCAGCATGTTGATTCTCAGCACATGTAAATGCCCTTCCCTCTCCCATTCCAGGTGCATTTATGATACATTTTTTATTTTGTAACAAATACTAACATGCATATATTGGCGTTTTTCTAATATCTGATTGGAGTTTAGCCCTAAAGTGGGCATTCACATCTAAAGCAAGCAATGCTACACATACTGTATGAGTATTGCTTGTGAGGCAATGTAAGGGTTAACAGTTCTTACAGATTTGGATGTTCTCATTATCACACAAAGGAGTCAAAAAAATGTTGGTTTGACAGATCAACTGCCTGACATTTATGGGGAAAAAAGAACGCATGCCACATTAGGCAGTCAGCCAAGCTGGAGAGAACATAAGCAACATGCAGTTTGAGTTGGGGTCAGCAGATCATTTTTGTTGAGTAATGAGCCCATGTGTGGTCACCCCATTATAGGAGAAAACTATTATAAAAATAGCTGAACAATTGATACTGCTACCTGTGTGCTGTGCATGTCCACATACTTCTGAGCATATGGTGTATTTGTGATTGGTATTCATTATATAAAGGAAACTTTCACACATTTTTTATTGTTGACTTTTATTTTAAACCCCGTTCACATGTTGTGGTTTGGGATCAATTGCTATGATTCTGCGTGCGATCCCAAATCACGGGGCAATTGCAGCACAACATGCCGCATACGTTTGGATGCCTTTATCCTTAAATGGCACCCCAAACATGATGCGATTCTGCCATGATTGACGCACAACAGGATCGCGTGGCAAACTGTGCCTTCACAAATTGCATGAAACCTTTCACCCGAAAAAGGAGCAGCAGCTTCTTTTCGGGTGACAAATGCACAGAATTGCATGAAAAATGTTAATGATGTGAATGGGGCCTTACTGCTTTAGCCTGGCAGTGTCTAATTAAAGGATACCCATTTACAAAATAATATTTTAACCATTTAAGCCCTGAAAGATTTTACTCCCATGACCAGGGCATTTTTTGCTATTCAGCACCACGCAAATTTTATTTTTTTATTATATAAATGAAAAAAAACTGAAAATTTTGAAAAAAAAAGTTTTTTTTTTACTTTCTGCTATAAAACATATCCAATAAAAAATGTAAAAAAAATATAATTTATTCATATATTTAGGCCAAAATATATTCTGTTACCCAATAAGCTGATTGGTTTCCGTGAAAGTTATAACATCTACACCTGGATCAGGGACTATAAATTAGTAGTGCATTTCTTTGCATTGCATTATTCATAGGACAGGCAGAGAAGACACGATTTATGTAAAGATAGAAATTGTCCATCAGAATTGACAAGCAATGTATCCTTGTTGTTCATCTATATAGTTCAAAATGTATTAGGTTAATGGGAGGATGTCTGAAGTTTAAATTTTTTCCCTATCTGTGATAGTGCAGTGGGCAATCTGACACTAACTAACGCTGGTTGAGAGCTGACTAACTGACACTGACATCTCTAGTGACACTAATACAGTGATCAGGGATACTATACACTGTCACTGCACTAATGACACTGGTTGGGAAGGGGTTGACATCCAGGGGCAATCAAAGGGTCATCCATGTACCTAACAATGTGTAATCTGTGTAATGTGTGCTGCTTTTACTGAGATGTGACTGTTTTATCTCCCTGCTTTTCTTTGTGTACAGAGCCCTGTTGTTACTAAGCACAAGACTCTGCACTGTCATTACTAAACACAAGGCTCCGCGCTGTCATTACAAGGCGCTAGGCTCCGCGCTGTCATTTACAAGGCTCCGCGCTGTCATTAAGCACAAGGCTCCGCGCTGTCATTACTAAGCACAAGGCTCCGCGCTGTCATCACTAAACACAAGGCTCCGCGCTGTCATTACTAAGCACAAGGCTCCGCGCTGTCATTACTAAGCACAAGGCTCCGCACTGTCATTCGCTAAGCCCATCAGCAGGTCCTAGTCGTAAATCATTGGCGGGACCTACTGATCGACTTGCAATTTGCTGAATGACAGTACAGATGGGGTGGTGGCCGTGCACACGTGAGCCCCCTACCCAGAAATGCTGGATCATGTACATGTATGTGACCCAGTGCAGAGTGGCTGCCACGCTGCAGTATATATATATATATATATATATATATATATATATATATATATATATGGGGCTGTCAACAAACGGTTAAAGCCCAACTCTGTGAAATCTGAAAATTCTCCCTTGCAGTGGGGCTGCACATGCATTGTAAGGGTTAACATTTCCTTAATTCTAGGGAAGAGGGAAATCAATTTTTCTTGCTCATCATCACATCCAGTGTGGGGCTATGGACCCTGCATCAGTCTTGATGACATCAGGGCCTTATACCTCTGGAGCATAGGGGAGAAGATGCTGTGGAAACAGCAGTGCAGAGGATCAGGTAGGTAGATCTACTTTTTCTGTCCTCCCCTAGACCTAAACAAGCAGTTAACCCTTGCAGTGCAGGATCAGTCCCACTGTACTGCAAGGGAAGATTTTCATGTTTCCTGGAATTCAGCTTTAATGCTACCAAAGAAAAAAAAAGAAAGCTTGATTAAAAAAATGTAATTATTTAGGAAATGATCAACAATTGAGAAAAGCAATGGGTGCGATTACAAGAGGTGCCATCATCCCTATAATTATGTATATGAAAAAAACCCTCTTTTTGTGGGAATTTAACCTCCCTAGCGGTCTGATTATGTCCGTATTTCTGTGCTGAAAGCAGTACATTTTTTTGCATGGAAATATGTTTTTTTTTAATTGTAGGCCTGTAATTTTTAGGAATAACTCACTGAAATCTGTCCAAACAAGAGTCTAGTAAACATCCCGGGTATGTTAAAATTTGAAACACGAAATCATAAATTATAATTTAATAAATAATCATAAAAAATAATAATATAATAATAATAAATTTAATTCAATAATATAATCAAACCAAAAACACTGAAATTTGAAATATAGCGCCAAGTTCGCACATCACTGAGCAAAGTCGCAAAATAGTTTTCAGTGTCTGATGATGAATTTCCCCACGAATCATTATCACTCAATTCTGCAAGTAGTTCTAATTTACTATCGCTGTTCTCTAGCTGGTCTAAAACCGCTTTTGACATAAAGGGACGCTTTTTGGACGCCATGGACATTTCTCAGTTTCCAGGCAGAAAGAACAGAAAAAATGCAGGCAGGGCACAGGACAAAGCACTCGGGACAAAATGTATGTAAAATGGTTTGATACAGTAATGTTTTACTATGTGATTTTAGTGTATTTAGTGAATGTCACTTTTTGTCATTTTCAAATTTCCCGCCGTTCCGTCCCCTGTACGTCCCGACGCTCGCAGGGGACGGAACCCAGATGACAGATGCCGGCATCCGCCAGAGTACATTACAGGGGACACTGCAGGAGGGACATCGCGGGAGCGCAGGACAAGGTAAGTGAAGAACAGATGCTGGAGCAGCGCCGCATGGTAAGCCCGAGTGTAGCTCGGGGTTACTGCTTTTGGTACTGAAGCTTTTATCCCGAGCTACACTCGGGAATACCATCAGGGAGGCTACAGGCCCAAAACAAACCAATAACATCATAAAGGATTATGATGTTATTAGTTTGTTTTCTGCCTTTAAAATCCCACAAAAAGAGTGTTTTTTTCCATATACATGATCAACAATTAAAGTGCAACCAAATTTTTAAATATAATTTTCCTACATTATCTCCATCCTAAAATGTAAGTCGGGGATGTGAGCAGGCGGCGTGCTGGCAGCATTTCAGGGCAGATGATGAATTGTGCCAGGATGCTGAAAATCAGTGAAGAACATTCCATTCTTGCAGCAGATGACATTGCCGGGAGCAGGTGTACACAGAAAGCCACCCAGGCTATCTCTGTAGGTGGCTGCATGCCTGCATTCAGTTGTGGCATTTATAACTCAGTTAAGAATAGTATATTGATATATGTATTACTAAATTAGCCGGTGTAGACCAGTGATACCTGCATGAAGGCACCCTGTCAACTGCAAACAAATGTAGATCATTTTTTCACCAGCTTGTAGTAGAAAAGGCTAGTTAGGTTCCTGCTTTTCATTCTGCAGTGTCCATTTCTGTGGCTGCCTACTGTAGTGAGTGTCATTACATGACAATAATAAATGGACACAAGAGTAATGTACACTTAGGTGTCTGTTTATAACACACAGAATAGCTCAGATTCAGAGGATCACAGCTATTCTCTGGTAATTCACAGTTTATGACACCCAGGAGAATATGTTCAGCCCTTCTCTGGAGATCTGTGTTCTCCCTCCAGATTCTCCAGCCCAGAGCTGGAGAATCAGAGAGACCGAAAACTAAGCAGAGATAATTTACCTCTGCTTAGTAAACTGATCTTTTACTGTAATCTCACGAGATTATAGTAAAATCAGCCGTTTTCCAGCGTTTGTAGACCGCTCTCCCTTCGTTTGGAGAACTGATCTACATATGCTTCATAAACGGCATTCACAGGAGAACTGTGTTCTCCGAGAATGCCGGAGAACTGAGCAGCGATCTATTACTGCTGGTTCATAAACGGACACCTATATTGCCAAAAGTATTGGGCCAGCCCTCCAAATCATTGGATTCAGGTGTTCCAATCACCTCCATGGTCACAGGTGTATAAAATCAAGCACCTAGGCATGTAGATTGCTTCTACAAACATTTGTGAAAGAATGGGTTGCTCTCAGGAGCTCAGGGAATTCAAGTGTGGTAACGTGATAGGTTTCCACCTGTGCAATAAGTCCATCTGTGAAATTTCCTTGCTACTAAATATTCCACAGTCAACTGTTAGAGGTATTATTACAAAGTGGAAGCAACTGGGAACAACAGAAACTCAGCCACCAAGTGGTAGACCATGTAAAATGACAGAGCTGGGTCGGTCCATGCTGAAGCGCACAGTGCGCAGAAGTCGCCAACTGTCTGCAGAGTCAATAGCTAAAGACCTCCAAACTTTATGTGGCCTTCAGATTAGCACAACATACAGAGAGAGCTTCATGGAATGGGTTTCCATGGCTGAGCAGCTGCATCCAAGCCTTACATCACCAAGTGCAATGCAAAGCATCGGATGCAGTGAGGTAAAGCACACCGCCACTGGAATCTAGAGCAGTGGAGATGACTGGAGTGACAAATCACGATTCACTATCTGGCTATCCAATGGATGTGTCTGGGTTTGGTGGTTGCCAAGAGAACGGTACTTGCCTGACTGCATTTTGCCAAGTGTAAAGTTTGGTGGAGGGGGGATTATGGTGTGAGGTTGATTTTCAGGGGTTGAGCTTGGCCCTTTAGTTCCAGTGAAGGGAACTCTTAAGACATCAGCATACCAAGACATTTTAGACAATTTCATGCTCCCAACTTTGTGGGAAAAGTTAGGGGAAGGCCCCTTCTTGTTCTAACATGACTGCACACTATTGCACAATGCAAGGTCCATAAAGACATGGATGAGTGAGTTTGGGGTGGTGGAACTTGACTGGCCTGCACAGAGTCCTGACCTCAACCCGATAGAAGACCTTTGGGATGAATTAGAGCGGAGACTGCAAGCCAGGCCTTCTCGTCCAACATCAGTACCTGACCTCACAAATGCGCTTCTGGAAGAATGGTCAAACGTTCCCATAGACACACTTCTAAACCTTGTGGACAGCCTTCCCAGAAGAGTTGAAACTGTTATAGCTGCAAAGGGCGGGCCAACTCAATATTGAACCCTACGGACTAAGACTGGGATGCCATTAAAGTTCATGTGCGTGTAAAGGCAGGCGTCCCAATACTTTTGACAATATAGTGTATATATATATATTTAAAACGTGATGCTGCTCCAATGTGGAGATGACACTGGCAGCCACTACACAAAGTATAGTTTGAAATAGTATTAAACCCAACAACAAAAATACTGTATAATATATTGCACCTTATCAATTATTAGATGTGGTGGCTGCATTAGTTTTCTTTTTTTTTCTTAATATTTATTTATTTATTTATTTGTCTGGTGATTGAGCCAGTATTTCTTTGAGATTTCAACTTTCTCTAACAGACCAAGCTGGCCAGCAAAAATGCCAGTTAGGTAGTTGAGACAAACCATTTAAAGCAGAACTAAAGTCCCCAGTTAAAAAACTGTAGCCAAAAGACTCTTTATTGCAGAAGAGATATGCAATAAAATAAATCAACCTGCCTGCTAACAGTCTTCTGTAGAACATACACTGAGTCTGCTACTGCTACTGCGTGTGCACAGGTATGATGTCATCCCATATTGACCAATCAAGACAGCAGCAGCCTAGCCCCCAGAACAAGCCAGGTGAGGGATCTCAGACCGTTGAAGTAGAGGTAAGTATTGCAGACTTTGGGGATAAAAAAACTGTTGCTGTAACTGCTGAAAAAGTGTTAGCTAGAGTTCAGCTTTAATTTGTTAGTCAAATCCAACTATATCTGCAATCTAGCATTACCCTCTCCCCAGATTGACAATGCTGCTGTCCAAAGGTGTCTCTGTTGCTCTGTCATTCAGAGTGGAGACAACTTAAATCAAGAAGTGTGTTACCAGGAGGATCACCAGGTGAAAATTAAGAAAAAAAAGATGTAAAAAAAGAAAACTAATGTAGCCACCGCATTGGTAAGCTGCAATATATTAAATTTTCAATCATTAGATGTAGTGACTGCATTATTTTTTTTCTCTTTTGTCTCTTTCTCTCTGTTTTCACCAGGTGATCTGGCCAATAACACACCTCCTTTATTAGTGTGCCCCAACTCTGGATGAAGGAGCACAGTAGTCACATTTGGACATCAGCATTGTCAGTTTGGGGGAGGGCAGTGTTAGATGTAGTAGCAGATGTAACCACTTGCCCTCCGGAAGAGGAAGCCATTTTTGCCATATAGCAAAAAATTACTTTAACTGATAATTGCACGGTCATGCAACGCTGTACATAAATTAAATTTATGTCACTTTGTCCCCACAAATAGAGATTTCTTTTGGAGGTATTTGATCACCTCTGTGTTTTTATTTTTTTTGTGCTATAAACAATAAAAAAAGACAATTTTGAAAAAAAAATCAATATTTTTGACTTTTTGCTATAAAGCATATTCAGTAAAATAAATTTAAAAAAAATTTCTTCACAAATTTAGGCCAAAATGTATACTGCTACATGTCTTTGGTAAAAAGAAAAAAATTGTCCCTGCTGACAGGAGAGAGACCTGTGTTCTCTCCCCCCCCCGTCAGCTTCTCCACCGATCACCGAGTCCCAGCCATGAATCGCTGGCTAGGACTCGGTGGCTGACATCTCCGGGGGACAATGATAGCATTGGAAGGGTGGCACATGTGTGTGTGCCCCCTATCCAGAAATGCTAAATGACTATTTTGTACAGCACAGCTGCCCTGTAGCAGTATATTTGCTATAGGGGGTCCTGAAATGGTTATATACACTAGCAAATTAAGCCAAACTCCAGCCAACACTTTGTAAGTCACAGCAACAGTTTTTTTTCCTTTTGGGATAAAGGTTTTACATAAATAAATAAAATTAAATATTGTAGGCACCCCTGCCAGTGTTGAACAGTTTGTCTCATCCCTGAACCTGTTACATCTGTAAGACAGCTTGTTCTTTTGAAAAACAACAGACATACTGGTTGGATCACCAGATGTGATCCAACAAAAAGCCTAAAAAAAGAAAACTAATGCTGCCATCAAATCTAAGAATTGGTAAGCTGCAATATAATAAATTATTGCTTTTGGGTTTAATACTGCTTGAAATCACTATGATAGGATTAGAAAGAACCTTGTCCAGGACTCCCCAGCCTGTGATTGGACACCGAAGGGAAGTAGGGGCACCCTATTTCCCCGTAACAATAGCCTGAAGTAGACTCTAGTCCTGCTCCTTCCTGCTCCAGGTTAGGGTGCTGTGGAGCAAATTACTTTTTCATTGTGGAGGAGATCTTCCCTAACTTCATGTCCTTGTGACACCAGGACAGGAAATGAGAGAGTATATGTATCCCTTGGACAGAAAGACACAGATTGCTAGAAACATCTGATAGACACATTCAAGAGTGACTGATATCAACATCCTCCTTGTCTCTGTATGATCCAGTATAGGGACATATTTGGTCTTCTCAGCAGGAAACTTTATGGGGGGGATTTACTAAAACTGGCGAGTGCAAAATCTGGTGCAGCTCTGCATAGAAACCAATCAGCTTCCAGGTTTTATTGTCAAAGCTTAGAAGTTAGAAGCTGGCTGGCTACCATGCACAGCTGCACCAGATTCTGAGTGCTCCAGAGTTAGTAAATCTCATCCACAGGTCTATTTATTAATCTTTTCACACAAGATTCACTTATTTAATCCATTATTTAAAAAAGTGTGAACCTTAGCTGAAGTAGTGTGAATCGTGTGTGAAAACATTTATGAATACCCCCCCTTAATCTAATCACAGTGCCCCCTATATATTCAAAGATATGGCCTAATCCATCAAAGAGACATTCCCATTTAGCAAAGATAGGATGTCTCTTTGCTGGACAGGGATGTCTCTTTGCTGGACCCAACTGGGCAAAGAGACAGCCCAGTCCAGCAAAGAGATAGCCGTCCAGCAAAGAGACAGCTCATCCAGCAGAGACAGCCTATCCAGCAAAGAGACAGCCATCCAGCAAAGAGACAGCCATCCAACAAAGAGACAGCCTGTCCAGCAGAGACAGCCCATGCAGCAAAGAGACAGCCCATGCAGCAAAGAGACAGCCCATCAAGCAAAGAGACAGCCTGTCCAGTGCAGCGGCTGGCCGAGGAGGTGTCCGTGTGTCAGCGGTGCTTCCTTCTTGTTTTCAGGAGCCGTCACTGCCGCTCCCTCCAGTCGTCCCTGCTTTGGGCATAGCCGCACAGTGGGAGGTGAGTGTCGGCTGTGGTCTGTATTAGCCGCAGTCAGACAGCGGTTGACGCTTACCTCCCGCTCTGCGTCCCGGTCATCCTAAGCCCCGCAGCCCTGGCCTACCAGGCAAGTGCCCTGTGTGCCCTATGGCCAGCCTAGGCCTGCTACCATAGCTGCTTTTACCCTGCTTGGTATTATTGATAAGATCATGCATTCATTTTTGGATTAGGTCAGCTTTAAAGTGTTACTAAACCCAGGATCCTTCATTCACTATATCTGGTCTCCCACAGTACACACAACATGAAAATGCAAATATTGTAGTAATTATAAACTGCTAAATACCTTTTATCATCAGCAGTATATAGCTGATATATATAGTCTCGTGACTTCCATCAGTGTCTGGCCGAACACTGGTTAAAGCTTATAGGAGGAGTTTTAATTCTGCTCTGACTGTCCTATGAGGCTGCAGGACCCCTGACTCTCTCTGTCTGGACAGTGCTGATTGGCCCTGTGCTAATCACATGCACCCTCCAGAAGGAAAAAAAAAACCCCTCTCTAGCCATACACAGTAAACTGAGCATGTGCAGAGTGACTCCTAGAGCTCTGTACTATCGGAAGGTGGATTGGGGACAGTAGAAGAAGGGGAAGATTAGAGAAGACAGGATCAAACAGCCTTTTCTACACAATACAGAAGATTAACCCCGTAGGTTCCACAGTGAGTATAACAAGCATGCTTTACTGCGTATATAGACTGATTTTACTATTGTGGGTTTAGTAACACTTTAACGTGTATGTTTTTCATTTCAGCACCATGGACAGAGTGAATGACTTGTATCAACGTGTTTCATAAAAAGTGTTATTCTAGCAATACTCAGTAGACTTTAAAGTGGTTGCAAAGGCAGAAGTTTTTTTTTTTACCTTACTGCATTCTATGCAAAAAGGTAAAAAAACCTTCTGCATGCAGCTTTCTGCACAGCTCCCAATCCCCCCCAATACTTACCTGAGCCCAATGTTGATCCAGCAATATGCACGACAACCGAGGCTGTCTTGGCTCTCTTACTTTCTCATTGGCTCAAATAAAGCCATTGGCTCAGACTGCTGTCAATCATAGCCAGTGATTAGGAGCAGGGGTCGGGGGCCGAGCCCCATTCTGTGTGTTTTATGAACACACAGAGCAGGGCGTGGGGGCAAGCACACATGAGTGCCCCCCCCAATGCTAGACATATTTAGCGCTTGAGAGTTAATTGATTTCAATGGCCAGAATAAATTATTA